TAACTGTGATGCTTTATGCTTTTTATAATTATTTTTAATATGAAAAATAATTTGTATAAGCATTTAAATTAATGAAATCTAGAACAGTAGGAACCAAATGTGGTGCCAACAATTTATTCATTTGCATATATATATGTATATACAGTCACACAAATACGCATTCACAGATACACGTGTATACAGATAGGCGGCATTTCCTATTGGACACTTACTCATACGTATTAATTTATTTATTCAACAAATATTTATCCAGTGCCTATTTTTGAGTCTGGCACTGTTTTAAATAACAGTGATACATTGATGGAAAAAAACAAAAGAACAATATAAAAGTTTTTGCATTCAAAAGGCTATTTTTAAAAGTTAGCAAGCAACTAGACAGTATAAGACAAATGCGGTGGAGAAAAGACAGGTCAGGGCAACGGACATGGGTAGGGCGGGACTGGGCAGGCCTTACAACAATTTTAAACTGGCCAGGGACATCCTCACTGATAAACTGACATTTGAACAGAGAACTAGGGGTAGTGAGGGAAGGAGGCCTGCGGGGGTGTGAGGGGGGAGCACACCCAGCAGAGGGAAGAGGTGATGCCGAGGACTGGGAGCAGACGTTAGATGAGGTGACTTAGAAAGTGAGGATGGGAGAGAAGGGAAAAGGCCAGATAGTTGATTCTTAGGACACTGGTATCCTGGGATTGGTGAGATGAGGAAGAATGGGCGAGGGGTCTTGGAAAGGAGTAGAGAGCGAAGTAGTTGAACACCGAAAAGAAGTGTCCTGGCACGGTGGGAAGAAGGTGTTTCAGGAGCAGAGCTTGATAAAGTGGGTCTAATGCTACTGGAGGTCAAGTAAGATGAAAGCTGAGGATGAACTGACCCCGGATTTGCAAACATGAAGGTCACTGGTGACTGTAAGAGGAGCTAGTGTGTACGCTCACATGCACCCGTATTGACAAAACATGTACATATTATATATACTGTGTGTAGTGCTAAAGAATAAATATTACTGTAGGTATATAAATACTATATCTAATATACATGGTATTAGAATACATGTTTGTGCTTGTGTACACCTACTGTGCGTGTAAACGTGCATGTGTGTTATAGAGATGTGTTTACTGTCACTGTACTTGGCAGTACAGTAACACAGCAAATGGTTCTTAAATCTTCATAAATTCCTTTTAAAAACATTTTTTTCATAGTGATTGAGAAATATTTGGGGAAAAAATTATAAAGAAGAAAATGATGGTTTATATTGCAGTGGAGGTAGGTCACCAAGTGTTTTCTATGCAGGTGGATGGAACAGTTGGAGGGTGGGCAGGCAGATGAGTAGGTGTCTGAATATGTGTATAGAGTATATGTTACATATTGAAATGCACTGTATATAAGCTTTATTTAATACTGTGCTATATTCTCATGATTAAAAGTCTTTGTGTCAATACTATTTTATATAATTCTATGACTCTTAATAAAAAGTACAAGAACAGCATATATTTAAGCATAACGAACCTAACGAACACAGCTTGGTGGGCTGCATTTTTCTGCTCGGTTCTTTATGAGTAAAAGGCAGCATTTTGTATGTATAGCAATGATTTAATATTCATCACTTTTATACTCTGTTCTTCCCACAAAGTTCATGTTTCTGCCCTAGAAAATTAGCCGCCAGATAGCCAGGGAGATAACTAAGTGCAGACTTCCTTGGTTCATTTTGACCATCTCAGGGGTCAGTCATGAACCTGTGAGCCTGAGACCCAGTCAGCTGCAGGGGATTTTACTGCTACTTGGGAACTTACCACCAGATAGCACTGAGGTCCCAAATGCCTCTCTGAACCCTGGCTGTCTTGAACTTAGCTGCATTTGCAATTGTTTATTCAGGGCAGTGGTCTTCACTCAAAGGTGATTTTGACCCCAGCAGGTATTTGGCAACATCTAAGGGCATTTTTGGTTGTCGCAACTGGGGAGGGAAGTACTAGTGGATAGTAGCCGGGGATTCTGCTAGATCATAATGTCCTACAATGCACAGGACAGCTGCCATAGCAAGGAATTATCAGGCCACAGATGTCAGCCATGCTGAGGTCAAGAAAGCCCAAGTTGAAGATCCTGTGTGGGTGGCCCTGGGCAGGTGCTAGGGCATTAGACCTGGGCACATGTAGTCGAGGCATCTGGGCAACCATTCTGGACCTGGCTCTTGGAACCTTAAGGACTTGGTATTTACAGACATGGCCTCTAGTGGCAAAGAATAAGAAATAATGAAGAGACAGAAAATAAATTAATGAAATTCACATGATTTCCCTTACCGTGTCAGCCTTTTTGGATCCAACGCCCCACCCCAGTTACCTGTGGGTGGAAAAAGCCAGGGAGACTCCTGACGAAGTGAGGGAAGGGGTCTTGTCTAAAAGACAGGAAGCCTGGGAGGGCCCAAGGTCTGGATGTGCCACTGCCTTTGGGCTCATGCTCTCACTAAGGTCCTGCATTTGGGGCATTTTCCCTGCTTCACAATGCAATATGGCAAGGTTTGAGTTTAATTTTCAGAGTTGCTAGTCAAACCAAAGTTATCAGGAGGAAGCATTCAGCCTATTGATATATTTTTTTTTTTTGCACGTTAGGTAAAGGGACATTTATTTCTAACAGAGGAAATGGCTGTGTTAACTATGGTAATGGCTTCCTTCGCCATTGGGAAGTTTGCTATTCTTAGATACCACTAATTATAACTTCATAAGAAAGATGTAAAACATCAGTATAGTTGGGTGGAGAATGTGAAATTGAATGATGTCTTACTGTCAGACTCCAAGACAGGAATCTATCTTGGAATTTCTAGTGGCTAGGTCGAGTCACAGCGGCCCTCAGAAGTTGAAGAGCAGTATAGCAGTTAAGTGTCTGTCACAGGAGCCACACTGTCTGGGCTTCACAAAGCTCCAACATCGATAAACCTTATGGATGGTATGCATGGTACTTGCCTGTTGCATACCTCAGTTTCCTCATCTGTAAAGTGGGCATCATAATAAACCTCACAGGATTGCTGTGAACCATGCAAACATTGTTAGCCACTGGTTTACTTTTGTTATATTTTCAGCTCTCAGATATCAGGGACTTAAAAAGGGTAAATTAAGTTTCCAAAGAAGAGAGAACCATAGTATCACCTAGTGTCAATTTTGTTTTTACCACTTATGTAATAAATGAAAGGGGTTTGTGCAAATAGTTGTTCTCAGTCTTACTGGGAATTAAACTCAGTTGACAAAAGAAAACTGACTATGGAATAAAGTGGTTTGAAGGTGTTACTCCAGCAAAACTTGTCTTTGTGTTGCTTTGCCTCTGGTAGATAAAAAGCCAGAGAAGCTTTCTAGTTCTTCTCTAAAATAGTGTTCACAAACTTCTAGTGAAAATAGCCTTTTTTTTTAATTTACACTTTAATTCAGTGGAACCTGATTAGTCTGAAATTAACCCAATCTCAGAGAGGCCTGGAAACATAAATGATTTTGAAATGTTATAGATTCTAAACTGGACATTTTGGAAGGCAAAAATGAAGGCTAATAACTTATATTTAGTATTTAACTCTGGCATTCCAATGGGGAAAAAAAAAGACAGCTAGTTTGTATCAAACAATGGGATTTGTTTCTTAGACAATAATATGATAAGTTAAAGAGCCAACCTGCATTAGGTTTATTAAATTAAGCAATAAAGTTTCATTTCTTTGAAACTACCCATTGTCAAAACCTTTATAGCTAACGTCATTTACAATGAAATTAAATGAAGGAACTATTTCTCTACAGCTAGACATGGACTTCCTCTGTTTTGGGAGGAGTTGAAAATACCATGTCAGTGGATCTGGCTATGATCAGACCTCTTCATCCTGTTTTAATTGTGGGTTATTTGCTACTTCTGATTTTATAGCTGTTATTTTGTTACTGACATTCAGACATTCACGGTAATTTTTAAAATACATAATTTTACATAAGCATCCCTCAAAGTGACCTTAAGACGAGAGTCTCTAGACATAATTACAGAGAGGAAGGAACTACCGACCTCGAGTGAGTTGATGGTTTCCAGGGCTATCTGATTTTCAGATTTTTCAGTTAAACACTGGGGCAGAGTTTCACAATTCTGCAAGCTTGGAAAGGATGCAGAAGAGGCACCTGCACAGTTTGTCATGTGGGCAGCACCTCTCTCTCCCCGCTGCTGTATATTTGAAAACACGAAGGACCAGATATGATTAATCACATGCTTCTCCTTGAAGACCTGAACCTTAATTATGCCTTTTGCCACCATACTGTATATTTTTTAAGGAACAGCTATGTTTGTGGCTAGGTGTCATTTGTCAAAGAGGACATGAATGTTTGTTAAGCATTCTCAGTTTTGTTTAGGTGCAATAACTAATTGCCAGCGAGTTATACTATCCAAAAAGCAAGCTTAAGGTGCGAGTTTTGACAAAATGAAATTTAATTCCGTGATATGTATTAAAAATCACATCTCTAACTTTAAAATTAACATTTTGTTTTTAGTTCTCTATATCTTACTGACAGTGTTTATCAATAGCATTGCTTCAGTGGTAAATGATATGTTTTAAATGATATAAGCCAAATATTCCCCCAAATTTTAGCATGTTTCTGCACTGATCTCTGCTTCTGCATCTGTAAAATGGAGGTGTTGAGATCACGTTATCAGTTAAGATCTTTTCTGGTACCTAAGAGTCCCTAAGTAATGTCTAATTATTGAGAATATTCTGCTGAATTTCCAAATATGGAATGTTTCAAATGGTATGACTGCCTTGCCAAAGGATCCTCTCTGTTGACCATCACCAAATATTATTCCCAAGAGCTGCCCCCTTCCACTCCATTGATGTGGTGGCGGCCCTCTGCAGAGAGAGAAGACCAACCTTTGCCCACTCAGAGCAGGATTACAGCTTTTAGAGGTCCAGTCATCCCATCTTGCTATCTGCGTCCGTGGTTGGCCTTGTGAGCATGTACATATTAATATTCCCTTCACTCTTTCCCCATGTGCTTCCCCAACAGAAAGGAGAACCTGACTGCTGTGCACTCTCCCTGGAGACAACTGAGCAGCTCACCTTTGAGATCCCCCTGAATGATTCTGGTTCTGCTGGTCTTGGGGTGAGCTTGAAGGGGAACAAATCTCGAGAAACTGGAACAGACTTGGGAATTTTCATCAAGTCCATCATCCATGGAGGTGCTGCTTTTAAGGTGAGTAGGAAAGATGTTTGCACATTGGTGTGAAGATACTTAGAGGTGTAGCTGTTGTGCTTGGGGACCAGATGGAAAAAGTGTCTGAAGGCTGGAGACCACTGAGGCTTTTCTGCCAGATGCTGGAAATGGACATATGAACAGATCTGAGCAGCAGTTTGTTTTCATACTTTCAGTGGTTAATTTCATGCCCTGGAGATAGTTCTAAAAACCCATTATGATCCATATTCTTTCTTGAATTCTTTCTATCATGGTTAGGATTCCTCCGAATTTGTAACCTAACAAAGTTAAACCTAAAAATACATAATCAGAAAAAGCAAACTTAAAAACAAGTCGACATCAAGACAACAAATAGGAAGCTGATATTTCTTGTGCTTGTGAGAATGAGAGGTCAGTGGAGTCTGAGAGTGACTGTAGCGTAAATTGAAGGTCATTCATCGCATTTTATCCAATGGAAGATGACCGTGGTGCCAGGAATGCGTATTTGCCTTTGAACTTGGAGAAGCTTATATGTTTCCAGATAAAAAGGAAAGAACGTGATTCTGCCCTTTCACACTGGGGTGGGCAACGTGATCATAGCTGTCCACTTAGTATAATGGTTAACTAGATTTGCCTGGGTTCAAATGCAACTCCACCTCCATGTGCTCTAAATAGCACAGTATTAATAGTAATACCTAATGTATAGGGTTGGAAGGATTAGATAAAATACTATACACAATGTGATTAGAGCAGTGATGTGATTATAGAGAGGGGGGAAACATGTTTGTGCGTATCATTAGCTATCCTCACCACCACCATCATCTCACGATATGCAGTGAGATTTCCAGGGTTTGAATCCTCCCTTAACATCTCACCCTCGGTGAATGTAGGCAACTTATCTGTCCTCTTTGTGCCTCAGTTTCCTCATGTGTAAAATGAGCAAAATTCATAATGCCTACCTGCTGGTGCTCTTGTGAGGACAAAAAGAAAAGAAAAAAGTGCCTAGCGCCATGCCCATGATAAACTTTGATTAGCCATTAGCCATTCTTAAACAATCTGGATATAAATAACGCATGTCCTCTCCCACTCACAAGCCAAGAGGGCATAGTTAGAATTTGCAGGAGCCCCCAGTTCTAGGATCCTGGTTTTGTTGAAGCCTTGGTCTCCTCCTACTTACCATTCCACTTGTGCTTCAGACCTAGGCACTGAGCTAATGTCTGTTATATGCAACGCGTTGTGTGGCTAGACAACTCTCTACTGCACTCCTTGGATCAGTTAGCTTCTGCTACATATTAAGTAATGACAAAATTTCAGAAA